TTAGTTTATTTAGTTTATTTAGTTTATTTAGTTTATTTAGTTTATTTAGTTTATTTAGTTTATTTAGTTTATTTAGTTTATTTAGTTTATTTAGTTTATTTAGTTTATTTAGTTTATTTAGTTTATTTAGTTTATTTAGTTTATTTAGTTTATTTAGTTTATTTAGTTTATTTAGTTTATTTAGTTTATTTAGTTTATTTAGTTTATTTAGTTTATTTAGTTTATTTAGTTTATTTAGTTTATTTAGTTTATTTAGTTTATTTAGTTTATTTAGTTTATTTAGTTTATTTAGTTTATTTAGTTTATTTAGTTTATTTAGTTTATTTAGTTTATTTAGTTTATTTAGTTTATTTAGTTTATTTAGTTTATTAGTTTATTTAGTTTATTTAGTTTATTTAGTTTATTTAGTTTATTTAGTTTATTTAGTTTATTTAGTTTATTTAGTTTATTTAGTTTATTTAGTTTATTTAGTTTATTTAGTTTATTTAGTTTATTTAGTTTATTTAGTTTATTTAGTTTATTTAGTTTATTTAGTTTATTTAGTTTATTTAGTTTATTTAGTTTATTTAGTTTATTTAGTTTATTTAGTTTATTTAGTTTATTTAGTTTATTTAGTTTATTTAGTTTATTTAGTTTATTTAGTTTATTTAGTTTATTTAGTTTATTTAGTTTATTTAGTTTATTTAGTTTATTTAGTTTATTTAGTTTATTTAGTTTATTTAGTTTATTTAGTTTATTTAGTTTATTTAGTTTATTTAGTTTATTTAGTTTATTTAGTTTATTTAGTTTATTTAGTTTATTTAGTTTATTTAGTTTATTTAGTTTATTTAGTTTATTTAGTTTATTTAGTTTATTTAGTTTATTTAGTTTATTTAGTTTATTTAGTTTATTTAGTTTATTTAGTTTAGTTTATTTAGTTTATTTAGTTTATTTAGTTTAGTTATTTAGTTTATTTAGTTTATTTAGTTTATTTAGTTTATTTAGTTTATTTAGTTTATTTAGTTTATTTAGTTTATTTAGTTTATTTAGTTTATTTAGTTTATTTAGTTTATTTAGTTTATTTAGTTTATTTAGTTTATTTAGTTTATTTAGTTTATTTAGTTTATTTAGTTTATTTAGTTTATTTAGTTTATTTAGTTTATTTAGTTTATTTAGTTTATTTAGTTTATTTAGTTTATTTAGTTTATTTAGTTTATTTAGTTTATTTAGTTTATTTAGTTTATTTAGTTTATTTAGTTTATTTAGTTTATTTAGTTTATTTAGTTTATTTAGTTTATTTAGTTTATTTAGTTTATTTAGTTTATTTAGTTTATTTAGTTTATTTAGTTTATTTAGTTTATTTAGTTTATTTAGTTTATTTAGTTTATTTAGTTTATTTAGTTTATTTAGAAATTATAGAAAAATGATTCCTATATTTATGATATCAAGCAATTAGATACTTAAATAAACAAAACTCTTACAAAATTAAATTTGTGTTTAATTTTAACAAAATAAGTATCTGCAAATTTTAACAAATATCAGGTCTTTTAATTACTACCTGGTATATCTGAACATTTAAAGAAAAACACTAATGTCTATCCTACTACACCTACTAAACAGAATTAAAAACAATGACTCTTGTTTTTGAAAATTACCAAATCTAATTATTGTTGTTAGATTTGGGTATAACAGCCCATTTATAAATAATTTAAATCTAAACTACAATTATTATAAGAATTGTTTAGCTTTGATAGAAAAACTTGCTATGAATATCTCTGCATAGCTATTAGTCTATAATTACACAAATATAAAATCTGATGTGTCCAACACATGACTTTCCTATCTAGTTATTATAGGCATTTTCCGGTTATTTTGTACAACCTATTGCAGCATCTCTATAAATGTTTAGAGGATAAACTAAATATATACATTTTCCACATACATCTACCTCGAAACATTTTTCTATAGATATTCATTGAAAACGAAAATACAGAAAAATTTAAATTTAGCACATTTCCATTACGGTCCATTTTAGAAAAATCATATATAAACAAAAATTATAGAAATCGATATCGCAAACAACTTTTAGTTCAACAATTTTCATAAAAATCAGAATTTTGCACATTTTGTCAAATTTCTCGAATACGGACCATTTCAGGAAATTTTGACATGGAACAAAAATTATAGATAATAATATTAGAAGTAACTTTTATTTGAACAATTTTCTTCTCCAAACATAAATAACAGATATATTCCATAAAATATAAAAACGGCTTCCTATAAAGTACCCCCCCCAGATGTTCCGACTTTGTCCAAAATCTAATCATTTCACGTCAGGCCGAAATAAACCTTAAGTTTAAAATTTAATGTTTTTTCCTATATCCGTTTTTGAGTTTTCTTCAAATTTCGAAATTTACACATTTTCTCAAATATCTCGAATACGGTCTATTTTAGAGAAATTATGTATAGGACAAAAATTATAGAAAATTATATTACAAACAACTTTTATTTGAACAATTTTTATAAAAAATTATTTTTTTTACATTTTCTCAAATTTCTCGAAAATTTTGCATAAAACAAAAATTATAGATTAGAAGTAACTTTTATTTGAAGAATTTTCTTCTCCAAACGTAAATAACAGATATATTCCATAAAATATAAAAATGACCACCTATAAAGTACCCCCCCAGATGTTCCGACTCTGCCCAAAATCTAATCAGCTCATTGGACGCGGAAACAAAGCTTAAGTTTAAAATTTGGTGTTTTTTTGTGTATCGGTTCATGAGTTATGCGTTATACAGACACACACACACACACACACACACACACACACACACACACACACACACACACAGACACACACACACACACACACACAGACAGACAGACATCATCGCGAAAATAGTCAAAACGGATTCAGGGGACCTCAAAACGTAAAAATCCGTCGAAAACTCGAGGTCGAAAAAAATCATAATTCCTATACTTTCCTTATATCTGTATACAGATAGGAAAGTAATATATCTGTATACAGATAGGAAAGTAAAAATGTTTTTATAAATACCATTTTCACATTCCAGTTATCACCACTGTGTCCATGTCACGCTTTTCAATCGCCTATGACTTCCTATACTTCCACTTCTTTTCCTCCTCGACTAATTCTTATGGTTTGTATTTACGTTTACAACGAATCTTTAATAGTTTGTTAATTTAAGTATCTTTTACATTGATAATTCTATCTATAAATTTCTTTGACATTTTTTCCAAAAATTTCAAAATTGATTCACTTCAAACTGACTTTTTTTTTTTACAACCTTTTTTATCTAGAAACCATTTTTTCTATATCTTAGTCTGCTGCTCTTAAGACTTCTTACATTATTTTTATGATACAGGGTTATCAAAAACTTTTCATTATTTTTAATTATTACTAATATTATTTAATTATTAATATAATTATTATTATATTAAAATACAGGGTGTTTTAATACCATATCAGTACTAATAATAAACTAATAACTAATATTACTAGTACGTACTGTAGCAAAATTCCCTAGTTAGTTACTGGGTTACCAAAAATTAATCATATCCATGTCAACCAATAAATAATCAAAGTTGAACTAAAACCCTGTGGGGAATTTTGATATTAGTGATTTATTACAATATTCATTGTCCCTGGTTTAGGTATGTATTTTAAATGATTGTATAATGTATTTTGTATTCATATGTATGTTTTTTAGTTTAATAAATTCGTCAACACACCAACCTGGGTTTAAAATTTCCATAAACGCTCTGAGATCGATAGTCTCCGAACCCCTTATCTTGTTACAGTACTTGTTCATAGCTACATTCCTACCTACCAAACGAAAGTGTTTGAAAAATAAACACAAACTTTTATCCAGCCATGAACATCAACATTGAAAAATAAAAAAGCACGTTCAATGAGAAGGCTGACACTCAGACTCATCGATAATTTTTTTAATGTTTGCAGTATAATTTGATACAGCCATTCGAATACAATTATCCAAATGTTCATCTGTAAGTCGATTGCGATATTTGTTCTTAATAAACTTTATATTGGAAAAAGAAGATTCACACAAATAGGTTGAACTGAATAATGCTTTCACTTTCAAGGCAACACGGCATAGAACTGAATATTTGTCTTTACTTACAATAGGCCAGATACATTTGGTACTTGAGACTAACGATTTTAAGGCTAAATCATTTTGAAACTCAATTACTTCCATTTCTGTTGCAGCTATATCTTTAACTTCTGTAAAAAAGTATTGTTCTTTCCATTTCGAATGAAAGTGGTATGTCTTTACCTTCTTACAACTGCTTGCCATAATATTATTTTTTGTTGTTCTCTATTAACCCAACCGCTGGACGTTGGTTACGCGTTCAGTTTTAAACTAAGCGCAATGTCGCCGCGCCGTGTAGCTCACTGCGCATGATTTTTCTGTTCGACGTTAATCTATACCGAGTTCTCTACATAATGCCGTTTTTCCCGTTTAAATCGGACACTAACGCGCTGGTCCGGCTGGTCGGTTCTAGCCGATTCTAGCTTGATGGCGTCAGCGGCAGATCGCTCACCGCAACGTTGCCGCTGTTTATGTTTAATATTATGACAATTAGATTTTTCTGTGGAATTTTCGGAAATAAACTGTAGTAGAAAAGTTATTTTAAATTACCAATTCTCTTCCATTCACAAACTTTAAATATTTTCGTTACAGGTTAAGTTTAATATTTGAATAATTGTTTAGAAGTTAAAATATGAGTAGTTACTTTACAGAATTAAAAAGATGTATTAAAACATTGAATAAAATGTTATTTAATACCGATTTTTCTATACTGAAAGTTTATTATTTTCACTAGGATTTCTACAATCTTTCCCAGTAAAGCAGATAATCCTACTTATGCATTAGAATTAATATTTAATTTAGTAAATTAAATAAAAATCCCTGCAACCCTTCGATCCCAAAATTAAACCATTCCATTAATATTTTTTACAAAAAATATAAACTTACCTCATTGTCAAATATTTTCTCGCATCTACTCTTGATATCTTCATCTCTTTTCTTTCTAATTAGAATATAAAGTGTATTCACTTCTGTAGATCTAAGTAGTTTTTCGATTAAAATTTTTCCGAGAAACCCTGTTCCACCAGTTATAAAAACGTTTGCATTTTTATAAAACTTCTGTATAGGCGTTTCAGTTTTTTCCATTTTTAATTCAATATTATCAGAATTAAATACAAAATGAACTAAATAACTTCATCTATATAAATGTTTAATGATTACCAAGATGTTTTTGTACACTTACTAGTTATGTCAAATACCTGTTGATGCAAATTTTTGTTTTATAATTGCATGCAATTATTAATAAAAAAAAAATAGGAGTACGAATAGCATTGAAATGATAATAAATGAGTTAGTATATGAAAAATAATGATTATTATTAATTTAGTTTGATGAGAAAGCGTAGAAGGACCAAACATTTGAATTAGTGATGTGAAATTATGCAAATCCATTGCTAATTGTGTTTTTTTATTAAAGGTATATCTGTTTTTTGCTAAAACAATCTTTGTATTGTTCTAAACCAGTGGTCGCCAACCTGTCGATCGCGAGCTACCGGTAGCTCGCGGAAGCAATTCTGGTAGCTCTCACAACGATTTTAATTTAAAAAATACAAACTGCAAAAATCAGGGAAGCTTCCGAAAATTCCACAAAAAAATCTAATTGTCATAATATTAAACATAAACAACGGCAACGTTGCGGTGAGCGATGTGCCGCTGACGAATTTTTTTTTGTCAAATTTTTTTGTTCCCTTTTTTTGGTTCAAATTTTTTTATTCCAAATTTTTTTTGGTTCCAATTTTTTTGTCCAAATTTTTTTAGTCAAATTTTTTTGGTCCAAATTTTTTTGGTCCAAATTTTTTTGGTCCAAATTCTTTTGGTGAGTTTTTTGGTCAAATATTTTTTGGTTAAAATTTTTAGTCAAATTTTTTTTGTTCAAATTTTATTTTAAAATTTTTTTTATCAAAATTTTTTTTGGTCAAAATATTTTTTGGTCGAAATTTTTTTGGTTAATTATTTTTATTCCAAATTTTTTTGGTCCAAATTTTTTTGTCCAAATTTTTTTGTCCAAATTTTTTTGGTCAAAATATTTTTTGGTCCAACTTTTTTATAAAATTTTTTTTTGGCAAATTTTTTGTTTGTCAAAATTTTTTTGGTCAAAATTTTTTTTGGTAAAAATTTTTTTGGTCTAAATTTTTTGGTCTAAATTTTTTTGGTCCAAATTTTTTTAGCCAAATTTTTTTTGTCAAAATTTTATTTTAAAATTTTTTTTATCAATTTTTTTTGGTCAAAATATTTTTTGGTCAAAATTTTTTTTGGTTAATTATTTTTATTCCAAATTTTTTTGGTCCAAATTTTTTTGTCCAAATTTTTTTGGTCAAAATTTTTTTTGGTCAAAATTTTTTTTGGTCAAAATTTTTTGTTCCAAATTTTTTTGTCCAAATTTTTTTAGTAAAATTTTTTGTTTGTCAAAATTTTTTTTTGGTAAAAATTTTTTTAGTCAAATTTTTTTGTCAAAATTTTTTTTTGGTAAAAATTTTTTTGGTCCAAATTTTTTTTGGTCAAAATTTTTTTTGGTTAATTATTTTTATTCCAAATTTTTTTGTCCAAATTTTTTTGGTCAAAATTTTTTTTGGTCAAAATTTTTTTGTTCCAAATTTTTTTGGTCCCCAATTTTTTTATAAATTTTTTTTTGCCAAATATTTTTTTAGTCAAATTTTTTGTTTGTCAAATTTTTTTTTTGGTAAAAATTTTTTTGGTCTAAATTTTTTTGGTCTAAATTTTTTTGGTCCAAATTTTTTTGGCTAAATTTTTTTTGTCAAAATTTTATTTTAAAATTTTTTTTGGTTTATTATTTTTATTCCAAATTTTTTTGTCCAAATTTTTTTGGTCCAAATTTTTTTGGTCCAAATTTTTTTGGTCCAAATTTTTTTGGTCCAAATTTTTTGGTCCAAATTTTTTGGTCCAAATTTTTTCGGTTCAAATTTTTTTGTTCCAATTTTTTTTGTTCCAAATTTTTTTGGTCCAAATTTTTTTGGTCCAAATTATTTTGGTCCAAATTTTTTTTTTCCAAATTTTTTTTTTCCAAATTTTTTTGGTCAAAATTTTTTTGGTCCAAATTTTTTTGTCCAAATTTTTTTGTCCAAATTTTTTTGTCCAAATTTCTTTGGTCAAAATATTTTTTGGTCAAAATTTTTTTGGTCCAAATTTTTTTGGTCAAAATTTTTTCTGGTAAAAATTTTTTTGGTTGAAATTTTTTTGGTCTAAATTTTTTTGGTCCAAATTTTTTTGGCCAAATTTTTTTTGTCAAAATTTTATTTTAAAATTTTATTTTAAAATTTTTTTTATCAAAATTTTTTTTGGTCAAAATATTTTTAGGTCAAAATTTTTTTGGTTAATTATTTTTATTCCAAATTTTTTTGGTCCAAATTTTTTTGTCCAAATTTTTTTGGTCAAAATTTTTTTGTTCCAAATTTTTTTGTCCAAATTTTTTTGGTCCAATTTTTTTATAAATTTTTTTTTTGGTTAATATTTTTTTAGTCAATTTTTTTGTTTGTCAAAATTTTTTTTTGGTCTAAATTTTTTTGGTCTAAATTTTTTTGGTCTAAATTTTTTTGGTCTAAATTTTTTTGGTCTAAATTTTTTTGGTCCAAATTTTTTTGGCTAAATTTTATTTTAAATTTTTTTTTGGTCAAAATATTTTTTGGTCAAAATTTTTTTTGGTTATTTTTATTCCAAATTTTTTTGTCCAAATTTTTTTTGTCAAAATTTTTTTTGATCAAAATTTTTTTTTTTTGGTCCAATTTTTTTATAAATTTTTTTTTGCCAATAATTTTTTAGTCAAATTTTTTTGTCAAAATTTTTTTTGGTCAATTTTTTTTTTGGTAAAAATTTTTTTGGTCTAAATTTTTTTGGTCCAAATTTTTTTGGCCAAATTTTTTTTTGTCAAATTTTTTTTGTCAAAATTTTGTTTTAAAATTTTTTTTGGTCAAAATTTTTTTTGGTAAATTATTTTTATTCCAAATTTTTTTGGTCCAAATTTTTTTTGGTCAAAATTTTTTTGGTCCTATTTTTTATAAAAATTTTTTTTGCCAAATATTTTTTTAGTCAAATTTTTTGTTTGTCAAAATTTTTATTTGGTAAAAATTTTTTTGGTCTAAATTTTTTTGGTCCAAATTTTTTTGGCTAAATTTTTTGTCAAAATTTTATTTTAAAATTTTTTTTGGTCAAAATTTTTTTTGGTTAATTATTTTTATTCCAAATTTTTTTGTCCAAATTTTTTTGGTCCAAATTTTTTTGGTCCAAATTTTTTTGGTCCAAATTTTTGTGGTCCAAATTTTTTTGGTCCAAATTTTTTTGTTCCAAATTTTTTTGATCCAAATTTTTTTGGTCCAAATTTTTTTTGGTCAAATTTTTTTTGGTCCCAATTTTTTTGTCCAAATTTTTTTGTCCAAATTTTTTTGGTCCAAATTTTTTTGTTCCAAATTTTTTTGGTCCAAATTTTTTTGGTTCACTGAATTGTAGAGTGAATATAGACACGTCTGTACTCACACACGTACACTGGCTTTTATATTTCATTAATAATATATGATTTCATACTTTGATGCAACAGATCTCGTTTTAAATATGTTTTTCTTCTTTTTTAAGCACCCTACATACGTGTTCTTCTCTGATAGGATCAAATTTAGATAGCAGCTCAACTATTTTTCAGAAGTTACCGTTATTATGCTCAAACACCATGTTGTTTGTATCTTGGAAAACCAGACAATTTTTATCAAGAATTTTAATGATTGCTGCGATTTCTAAAAGCACTTCTTGTCAATGGTTGTAATATGATCTTGTTATTTTATCTATTTTTATAGTGTTTTAGCTCTATGATTTTAAACTTTCTAAACTTGACAATCGATTAGTGATGAAAATATAGAAAATCACTAATTCACAGAGACTTACTTATTCAAATTTAAATGATTTATTATAGACTTATCTGTGGTATAACAGGTAACAGGTAAAGGGGATTCGTATGATTAGCTTGGATATCACCAACTGTTAAATCTTCATAGGTAAAGTTAAATCTCGTAAACTTCTTTGGATGGCTCGAACTAAACCTCAACATTTTAATCTTAGTTCTAGAAAAGATTATTGGGACTAAATATTATTTTTAGAAATTTCGTGGTCTTTTAGAGTTTGATTTAGATGATTCCAACTTTTAAACCCCTCTTCTAAGTACACAGCCAAAAATTTTGCAGCAATTTTTTATCTTTGAAAATTTATAACACAGGTCATCACTAAGTTTGGTGGTTGTCTTTGATGTATATATAGGTACAGGAATAGCAAAACAGGACTAACAATGGCATAACAGGAGTGTATTTCAAATTAATTATTCATAATTTACAAACGACTATAACTCTAAGTTTTTTCATTCTAATCTTACGTTTCTTATACCTAGAAAAACTCTTAAAAATGTTCTTTCAGGAGTTAAGTGAACTTCCTCATAGCTGATGATAACAAATTGCAAAAAACATAGACTATTACACATTTTAGGACACCGTTGACAATCTTGAACCTAAAACAAACATTTATTTATCAGTGATAGTCTATAAAATGCAGATTTACTTTGGGCAAATAAAAAATAACAATGATTTCTCAAATTTAGTGTTTGTTATGAAATAATAATAATATTCTCCCTAATTCACCCATTTACGGGGAAAGGGACGGCTATTATTATTTGCCATAGCGCTACAGGGCGATTTAAAGATGACTGATGGTGCCATTTGACTTACAGTTGAGGAAAATCCCTTCTAACATCAAATATACATAAATATATCCAACATAATAGGAGTTGTAGGCACGTGAATGACTGGCAACATTTATATTTTATAAATAATAATACCTTTCATGTAAAAATGAGATGAAAAATTTAAAAATTTAGTTATACAGTTACCGTACGAAATCAAAACCAATAGAGTTAAAAGTTTGGTCGACATGTAAATTTTGGCAATTTTGGTACTTCTCAAATTTTCGTAAATATTGAATTATTGCTCCTAATTTGTAGCTGTCCGTCAATAATAATAATAATAATAATAATAATAATAATAATAAAAAAAAATTAACAAATTTCATATCTCAAAGTGATCCTTACTTAGTTTTGTTTGTTATTTCTTTTTAAAACAAAATTAAGAACGTTTCAAAACGAAAATTAATATTTGAGTTTAATTTTGAAGTTTAAAAAAGAAAATTAATATTTTAAGTTTGACTATGAAGTTTTTTCTTCCTTTCCTTCTATTTTTTTTTCTTCTTATCATCCGAGTCTTCTTTTTTCTTCTACTACTCGCCTCCTGGGAAAATTTGAAAATAAAAATAACAATCTTTTCATAACACATAAAACAACGAATCTAAAGATCATATTTGCATCCAGAGTACTGGTTTTTTTTGTTACAACCGTCCCCTTGCGCTAATGCATTCGCCGCCATTGTTTAAAGGGGCTTTCATTAAAGAGCATTTATTAAATAAGTGAGTTATTTTTTTTTTAAATAAGAGGAGAACTTTTACAAAAAAAATTGTTTTCTAGGTATTTAACACCACAAACACGTTCATTTATATTTAATTTATACAAAATAGTTTATTATTATGAAAAAGTTGAAGGTAAAAAAAAAAATTATATTTTACCTTCTGTATTTTTTCTTAGCATTTTCCAAAGTACTATCGTTTTCCTTGAAAAGATACCGTCTCATTCCAATTGTATAGTTTTTCATAAACCTTAACCAATGTATTGTAGTAACACTCATTGGAAATAGTTCCTTATCTTCAATAGTTAATTTTTCATATAATTTAGAAATATTATCTGTTGAATAGTCCCAATTTCTTGTGGAACAATTTGAAATGGCTATCACAAATCTATGGATTTGATTGTATTTTTTCAATGCACTAAAAAAAAGAAGAATAAAGAAAATATAATATTATCATCATTATTATCATATATGCCATAATAAGAATCAGAATTACAGAATGAATAATCAACAGAAAACAAATGTTAAAAATACAGTTTTAAATAAATTTTGTATATGTAACTTATAGAAATACTAATATAAAAATGTTATTTGATACAGGATCCACAGCAACACCAGATGTAGAATCCGTTTCACGACAGAAGAACCCATCTGAAGTTGCAATCGTATGCGCATAATCAGCGCCATTTTATAAATTTTAAAATCAGTAGCGTCACCATTTTAAATTTAAATATAAATGTGAAAATGGTGTCATTTTCACTAGTTTTAATGCAAGAAATGTTGAAAAAAAAATTCAATTTGCAAATCCCTTATAAACTTTATTGAATATGTAATATAGATAAATGACTTTTATTCAAAAAAATTGTTATGTAAGATATTTCAAATTTTACGTTTTCGAGTAGGAAATTGCAAGATCTATCAAAATCAAGAAGAAAAAAAATTGGGATTACTATTTAAAAAAAATTGTCAATGACGTCACTGCCCAAAAATGGGAAGTGGGGGGAACTTGAATTCTTTTTAAAAAATTGCGCTTTTAGTAAACAAAATTGACCTGTCCGAGCATTTTTTCGAAAAACCAACTACTTTCATTATATTGAATTTATTCTTTTCATTTGAACCATACTGTATATGTTCCATATATTTCCATATATTTCCATATATTTCCATATATTTCCATATATTTCCATATATTTCCATATATTTCCATATATTTCCATATATTTCCATATATTTCCATATATTTCCATATATTTCCATATATTTCCATATATTTCCATATATTTCCATATATTTCCATATATTTCCATATATTTCCATATATTTCCATATATTTCCATATATTTCTTTCCATATATTTAAATTGCTATTGATTGTTGTTTACCTTGGCTTATTCATTGTAAAAACAGCTACACAATCGCTGATTATCGCAGGTATGGTGTGTACAAATATTTTCAAAATTGAAAAAACTGTTATGTTGCTGGTAACAATCAGAAATGGCGTCCAAAAACTATTAAGAAGCGGGTACTGGTCTATATTTAATTTTACCAAATTATCAACCTCTCCCCACGTTATAGGATTCTCCACAGGTACATGATTGTACACTGGAATGTCTGATGATCTATAAAAAAGAAATAAATATAATAAAATATAATAAATATATGAGAAAATAGAACATAGTTTTATTTTCTTATTAAAGATGGTCACATTTAAGAGGTTGAGATCCCTTTTTAGTTTAATAAATATATAAAGCAATTATGAAGAAAATGTGACTTCCAAACAAAAATTGTGTCAAATTTAAAAAATATATTTTGAATGTATGTATTTAATTTATTATTAATAATAATTGCAGAACCTGTAAAAATGATGCGACACTGGTTATAGAGTCTGCAGCATTTCCCCTCTGAACTCAAATAAACGATCTAAATTCTGATTTTATAAAATATACGAGAAGGTATACCCAGATGTCGCTATTGACAGTAAAACCAAAATAAATCTGTTTGATAAAATGACGTACTTTTCAAATTTTATGGAGCAATCCCAAGATGTAGCGATGAGACCAGCTACGCAAGTATCTACTGGTATACAATAAGAATCTTTTGTCAAATCAGCTAACGCTAATCTCAATAATCCTGCCATCATCATTGCATATACTCCTGTTGGTCCATAGAAATTCTCGGTCCAACCTTCTAGTGGTTCTTTGTATGTTGATATCACTAAACATATAAAAAAAACATATACTATTTATTTTTATCACTATTGGGGATACAAACGTTAAATTTACAGTCTAACGTTTTCCCAACCGAGCTATGTTGCTAGTTATTTAAAAGTTTATGGAACGTTATCAATTATAATTCTAAAAAAAATATTTATCACCCTTTTTTTTAATACCATCTTAATTTGAAATATATATTAAATAGCATAGGACCAAGTATGGACCCTTGAGGTACAACGTACTTTTTATAGCATCATAGATATATATTACAAGTTTTCTCTTTTTCACTTTTTTAACACATCATATGTTATCAGAAATATTATAGATTTTTGTTAATATGGCAAATTTCTTTAAAAAAACATGGTTTTGACAGTTGGGCCAACTTCACTGAGACAGGGCTCGTATATGCATTTGACCCGCAAAGGTCTATGTTAAAAATGTGAGTCACTCTCTACAATTGTGGCATTTGACTATAGGCATGGTTTATTCTCATTTAGAGATTCTGTGATTTTTGTTGTAAGTCTTAAAATGGCATCCTCGGTACTTGTTTTCCCGGAATCCATATTGACAGTCTGAAATTATTTTATACTTTTTGCAATAAGATTATAGACGATTTCTTAATATTTTTTCAAAGGTCGATATTAGGTACTCTGGCAAATTTAATTTTATATATCTATCCATGGGCGCATATACGAAGAGGGTAATGGGGGTAGATACCCCCAAAGAATTTTAAAACCTAATTTTCTATAGTATGTAAGTAACCCACTCTAAGTGAAAAAAGATGCCACTTTTCGAAAAATCGAAAAATCGAAAAATCGAAAAATCGAAAAATCGAAAAATCGAAAAATCGAAAAATCGAAAAATCGAAAAATCGAAAAATCGAAAAATCGAAAAATCGAAAAATCGAAAAATCGAAAAATCGAAAAATCGAAAAATCGAAAAATCGAAAAATCGAAAAATCGAAAAATCGAAAAATCGAAAAATCGAAAAATCGAAAAATCGAAAAATCGAAAAATCGAAAAATCGAAAAATCGAAAAATCGAAAAATCGAAAAATCGAAAAATCGAAAAATCGAAAAATCGAAAAATCGAAAAATCGAAAAATCGAAAAATCGAAAAATCGAAAAATCGAAAAATCGAAAAATCGAAAAATCGAAAAATCGAAAAATCGAAAAATCGAAAAATCGAAAAATCGAAAAATCGAAAAATCGAAAAATCGAAAAATCGAAAAATCGAAAAATCGAAAAATCGAAAAATCGAAAAATCGAAAAATCGAAAAATCGAAAAATCGAAAAATCGAAAAATCGAAAAATCGAAAAATCGAAAAATCGAAAAATCGAAAAATCGAAAAATCGAAAAATCGAAAAATCGAAAAATCGAAAAATCGAAAAATCGAAAAATCGAAAAACCGAAAAATCGAAAAATCGAAAAATCGAAAAATCGAAAAATCGAAAAATCGAAAAATCGAAAAATCGAAAAATCGAAAAATCGAAAAATCGAAAAATCGAAAAATCGAAAAATCGAAAAATCGAAAAATCGAAATATCGAAATATCGAAATATCGAAAAATCGAAAAATCGAAAAATCGAAAAATCGAAAAATCGAAAAATCGAAAAATCGAAAAATCGAAAAATCGAAAAATCGAAAAATCGAAAAATCGAAAAATCGAAAAATCGAAAAATCGAAAAATCGAAAAATCGAAAAATCGAAAAATCGAAAAATCGAAAAATCGAAAAATCGAAAAATCGAAAAATCGAAAAATCGAAAAATCGAAAAATCGAAAAATCGAAAAATCGAAAAATCGAAAAATCGAAAAATCGAAAAATCGAAAAATCGAAAAATCGAAAAATCGAAAAATCGAAAAATCGAAAAATCGAAAAATCGAAAAATCGAAAAATCGAAAAATCGAAAAATCGAAAAATCGAAAAATCGAAAAATCGAAAAATCGAAAAATCGAAAAATCGAAAAATCGAAAAATCGAAAAATCGAAAAATCGAAAAATCGAAAAATCGAAAAATCGAAAAATCGAAAAATCGAAAAATCGAAAAATCGAAAAATCGAAAAATCGAAAAATCGAAAAATCGAAAAATCGAAAAATCGAAAAATCGAAAAATCGAAAAATCGAAAAATCGAAAAATCGAAAAATCGAAAAATCGAAAAATCGAAAAATCGAAAAATCGAAAAATCGAAAAATCGAAAAATCGAAAAATCGAAAAATCGAAAAATCGAAAAACCGAAAAATCGAAAAATCGAAAAATCGAAAAATCGAAAAATCGAAAAATCGAAAAATCGAAAAATCGAAAAATCGAAAAATCGAAAAATCGAAAAATCGAAAAATCGAAAAATCGAAATATCGAAATATCGAAATATCGAAAAATCGAAAAATCGAAAAATCGAAAAATCGAAAAATCGAAAAATCGAAAAATCGAAAAATCGAAAAATCGAAAAATCGAAAAATCGAAAAATCGAAAAATCGAAAAATCGAAAAATCGAAAAATCGAAAAATCGAAAAATCGAAAAATCGAAATATCGAAAAATCGAAAAATCGAAAAATCGAAAAATCGAAAAATCGAAAAATCGAAAAATCGAAAAATCGAAAAATCGAAAAATCGAAAAATCGAAATATCGAAAAATCGAAAAATCGAAAAATCGAAAAATCGAAAAATCGAAAAATCGAAAAATCGAAAAATCGAAAAATCGAAAAATCGAAAAATCGAAAAATCGAAAAATCGAAAAATCGAAAAATCGAAAAATCGAAAAATCGAAAAATCGAAAAATCGAAAAATCGAAAAATCGAAAAATCGAAAAATCGAAAAATCGAAAAATCGAAAAATCGAAAAATCGAAAAATCGAAAAATCGAAAAATCGAAAAATCGAAAAATCGAAAAATCGAAAAATCGAAAAATCGAAAAATCGAAAAATCGAAAAATCGAAAAATCGAAAAATCGAAAAATCGAAAAATCGAAAAATAGAAAAATTGAAAAATCAAAACGCCAAAAAAACCAAAAATATAATTTATGCCAAAAAATGGATCTTTTGGTATTATGAAAAAATATAGTGACGATCATATCTCAAATAGTGATTTAAAAAACGTGAAAAATTTCTTGAACAGATTCATTTTGATACATTTATATCATTTAAGGATGACATTACAAATAAAAATTAATTCTTCATAACTGTGTTCTCTGCAAAACTATTAATAGTACCTAGAGTATCAATAGTGAAAATATAATTTATATAAATTAAAAATAGTAAAGGACCCAACACTGTTCCTTGGGGGATTCCAAATTTAACTGTTTAACTTGCAATTAATTCATTTTCAACTTTTAGAATCTGTTCTCTATCAGACAAATAACTTTTTAAGAGTTCTAATATAATGCCACATGTATTACTGAATCTTTTAAAGCCTCCAACAATTGTAGGTGGATCACAGTGTCAAAAGCCTTTGAAAGATCCAGAAATACTGTTCTTACATCTTGTAAGCGACCATCTCGTCAATACTGGTTTATTTAAGCAAGGTAACAAAAGATTTTTTTAATACTATTTTTACCTTAAACGTATTTTTTGTATACCACAGCATGGTTTGATGCATTTTTATAAAAATATGTCTCTATTCTCTATTTTTTAATATTCCTATGATTACAAAATAAAATCGTATAGGTATTATATAGATCGAACATTAAATGGTCAATAAATTTAAAATAAAAACTCTTCTTAATAAATTTTGCACCAAATACAAGTTCTAATTTGTTGGTAACATTTTGATCTGATAATTTAATCAAATTAACTTACCAATTGATGGTCTGTATATTGCTACTGGTAAACCAGTTGCATGTTCCTTTATTAACGATTCTGCCAAAGCTTTTGTGAAAGTGTAAGTATTTGGCCATTTTCCGATAAGTCTAAAAAATATGAACTATTTTATTTCAGAATAAATGTACTTATTATAAATTCCATCTCCAACTTTTGCAGAAAAGGAATATACATTCTGAAAACACCGATGCATCCGAGAAATTATGAATTTTTGATCACGTGATTCAATAATAATATAATGATTACATGATATATAATTCAAAAATTTCGAAAATAAAACTCTAGAAGCCAGATCACCATAAAACAAATCTGGAATCTTTTACGAAATTTCCGAAAATTCCACTCAGGATCCACACATACATACCCTGGGGTAATTGTGGCGATCTCGGTTTCACTACATTTTTCAATTTTGGTTTTATAATCTTCATAGCACATTTGACAATCATATATTTTCTCTTCAATCACTTTATATGGGCAGTTACAGTAAGCTGTAGAGACGTGGATTATTGACTAAAATAGTAATATTCAATTAAAAAGAAATACAACATATCTAGAAATATTTTTATCCATTAATCATTTAAAAATTATATTTGGAACTACGCCCCTGAGTCTACCAAGAATTCTAAATTATTTATATTATCAAAAAGAAATAATCTTTTAGAAGATTTTCCATCTACACTACCTAATGTTATCTTTACTCGTTTTTTGAATGTTTCGTGCGTGCATTAAACAAGAATGACCTGCACATTTATATGCGTTCTTCTTGTACTTATTATAAATGTAAGGCTCTGTGGTGCTAGCAATGTTGCCACGAGTAGCAAGATCCAAAGTCTTGCCAATCAATGAAATAATTACTATTCCTAAATTAAGATTATTTGCAATGAATTTACTATCAAAGTTAGATGGTTAGAAGAATATTTGGTAAAGCTTTATAAAAGAAGACAACGTTCCTCTTCTACAATAGAACATTTCTTTTGGATCAGACAACAAATACCAAATCGTAAAAATCGAAACGAGTAACGGAGAGTACTTACTTTTAAATGTTTCATATCTCTAGCCAAATCTAAGACATCTTTGGTTCCATTAACGTTGATGTTGAATGAATATTTTAAGTTTCCTTCAATTTTTACAGTAGCAGCGATATGAAATACAATATTTACATTATTAATTAATTCATTTCTGTCTGTACTCTTTAGACCCAATCCAGATAATGCGCAATCACCTTCTACGGGTTGAATCTTTTGTTTGAAATTTGCATTGTGTTGTTTTAATTTGTTAAATACCTATAAAATAAGGAATAATAAAGGAAAAATAACTAAAAACCACAAATATTAATTGTTAAGAAATCACTATCAGTAAAATACGAAATAAGTAAAGATGAAGCATGACCAATGGAGGCTCCAAATGTATAAGTTTTCACCAATATACAATTACATTAAATAAATACTTATCAAAATGGTCTTTTTTTTATTATACAGAATGGACAAATTTCGGTGTTTTAATAGAGGAAAATTATTTTCAAAATAATCTATAATACTGTTGTTTTCTAGTAGGTTTGTCATTTAGAATATTTCTGACGCCATCAAGCTAGAATCGGCTAGAACCGACTAGCCCATAGAAAAACTAAAAAGAGAAGGTTTGAATAATAGGCGGGAATTGTTTCCTTGTTTGTAGTTTATCATATCGCGCTTCACGCGCTGCGAGCACTAAATAAAAGCCGTTTTTACACCCATATAATAATTAAAAAATGAATAAATTTTAAAGAAATCAATAATTTTACTAATGCAATCTTTTAAATATCACTTTAATACAATATAATGATCAAATACAGGGATAATTGTTATAAATTTATAAAGTTAAAGCTACATTTGAATATTATGAGGTGGTGTAAATCTGGCTTTGCTAATAAATTAGGTTATGTTACACTAAAACATGACAGTCGCGAAAAAATGAGGAGGTGAGTAAAATTTAATTAATCTTATTTTTAATTTAGTTTTAGTTAGATTTAAGTAATTTATAGGTGTAAAAAATTTAGGTCTAAAACCTAAAATACATCACATTTTTGAGCCGTATACTAGGACAGTATATGGAAAACTTTTTTTTATTAATAATTTTATGAAAAAAATGTCCTCATAAAAAATTGTGTGTGATCTCAGACCTTAAAATACAACCATCATATATCAAATTGTATAAGTCGTATACGAGATTTGTCAAAAATGAATGTACTTTACTCTTGGCCAAAAATATTTTTTTTGGCAAATCGTATACGACTCATAAAAATTGATATCTAATGGGTGCATATAAGGTTTTAGACCATGCTAAATTTTTTGGTAAAACTAATAATAAAAAAGTTTTCCATATGTAGCCAACTTAATTTAAACTGTAATTCATTCGAATTGATTTTCCCTCTTTTTTTCTGTTTTTTCCTTTTTTTATTTATTTCAAAGCATTTAATACAATAAACTTGAGTTTAATAGCTTTTGTTTTATTAGGCATAAATAAAAAGAATGAAATTTAATTATTAAAATTTTATTTATTTGCATAAAGTCACATCAAAAATTAATCGAACCTTACAACATGTCTTAAAATTGTCTACATTTTGGCAGTCGTTGTATTCCCAGTTTCTTGTGTCTTTGTCTGTACAATGTATCTTTAATAGACATAAATGCCGGTATTTCGTTAACAAAATCTAGCCCAGCATCCTGTACGTTCATCAGCTCTTGTCTAAAAATTTGTGGCACTGGAGTCATTTCTTCACGGGCACGTTTCTTTGCTCTGAATAGACTTGCTTCCACTTCATTTTTGGCTACACTAGGGACACAGGAATGCGGTCTCTCCGATAAAACATTTAAACTTTTACTTGTAGTTAAGGAACCTGGACACGGTCGCTTTATGCAGATCCATCGGTTAGTAGAGTTTTTATTTCGACACTTTAGTGAATACTTGTAGCCACAATATAAAATGGAATTCTGGCTCCGTTGAGTTTCCACCACTTGAACTTCCATCGTTTTTCAAAATAAAATTTAGTAGCTAATCACAATCACTTCAAAAATCACAATGAAAACAAATAATAATTGTTTCATTATTTATAGTAGGTAAAAGTAAGATAACAAGACGTCTTCTTGGTATTCAAAAAGCTTACGGTGCTGTTAATAAGACCTGTCAAATCCTATTAATTTGATGTATTAAGACAAAGGTTTAAGGGGTTTCAATTAGGGTATTTATCCTTTTTATTGCTTAAAGTTAGAAACAATCGATTTTATAACACAAGATTATTTTTAAAATGCGTCATTAAAATATTATACTTTATATAATTTGGATCTTAATTGGTACTTAAAAAAATTTGGAGTGGTAATTATTTCAATTAATATCCGTTTTAGGTTAAAGGGGTTCAATCAGGGTATTTATCCCTTTTTACTTTCCCGTATGTATTCAGATAAGGAAAGTACCTATAGGAATCATGATTTTTTTCGGCCTCGAGTTTTCGACTGATTTTTACGCTTTGGTGTACCTCTGAATCCAATTTAACTATTTTCGTGATGATGTCTGTGTGTCTGTATTCATGATAACTTTAAAACGGATAAAAAGAAAAACACTATATTTTAAACGTTGTTATATCGGGACATTTTAACGTTTAGTTTATTTTTTACACTAAATATATACGTTATTTGAATATTAATTATTTAACTATATTTTAATATTATATTTAAACGTTGTTATGTAACTAAAAGTTAATCATTTTGTTAAATATATATAACATGTAAAATATTATTGTATTTCAACCTTTTTAACGTTTGGTTAATAATGTAAACCAAATATCTACGTTATTTTAATATTAATTATTCTAGTTTATTTTAATATTCTTTTTAAATGTTATTATGTAATTGTGGTTCAACCGAAAGTTGGATATTAAGATACATACACGTTTAATATTAACGTTTCTTTAAATTACATAAAACTCGTAATAAAAACGTTATTGTATCGAAACACTTTGACGTTTTGTTTATATTTTACCTAAAAATATTAATTATTCTACTTTATTGCAATCATATTTTTAAACATTTTCATTGATTATACTTGAAATATTAAGTTGGTTTATGTTTGTTATGTTGTAAATGGCCAAGATTTGAAAATTTTCTCATTTGTAAGAAGAGAAAGAAGATGGGTTATGTTGTAGTCATTTTATTTTAATTACTATAATTTTATATTAGAGAAAACCATATGTTCTAAATAATTGGAAGTTTGCGTCTGTTGTTTGATACATTTCTGAAATATCAGTATGTTATATTTCTGATAGGTTTCAAATTATTATTTATAAAATATATGAAATATTACATTTACAGGATATTTTTACAATTTAGGAATGTTTTAGAAATGTTTCTGAGGCGTTTCTTAATATTTATATATTATTTTATCATATTCATGATTTCCTTAAAATGGTCCGTATTCGAGAATTTTGACAAAAAGTGCAAAATTCGAATTTTAAAGAAAATTCTTCAAATAAAAGTTGCTTACAATGTAATTCTCTATAATTTTTGTTCCATACATTTCTCTAAAATAAACCGAATTCGGGAAATTTGAGGTAAAGTGCAAAATTCGAATTTTTCTCATTTTCACTTATAATACCCCTAGTGACCAAATTATTTTCGGAAATATTTTAGAAATCGCCAATAATTTGAGAATGATCCCAATATCATGCTCTATATTTTTTTATTCTACACATGATTTCTCTAAAATAAACCGTAATGGAAAAATCTTCAATTTTTTTACATCAACTAACTTTTCAATGCTCGCTATCTGTTAAAATCAAAGCTTGTTCTGCGATGTCATTTATTTCTCTTAAATTTTCGATAATGCATTACTACCTGAATCAGATTCGCTTGCAAAAATAAATGTAATTTGTAATGTTTTGATTAAACCTTCTGTTTCGAATATAACTTCAGCTAAAAGAAAGCTAGATTTTTTTAATGATAGAATTGAATGTGTTGAGGAACCTTTAATAAAGAAACCACGTGTAAGAACTGGTATTTTAAATCAAATTAATGCAACTAGAATTGGTAATTTAACTCCTAGAAAGAGAAAATTTTATTATATTAATCGAGAGCAGCGAAACAAAATTTCAAGATTAAAAAATAGTTTATTAAAATCTAAAAATAAAATTAAGACTGCTTTAAAATGATCAGAAACAAATTTATTTAAAAAATTTAGTTTAATTTTAAGATACACACTGCGCCTTTATTTTTTTTTTTGTTTTAGTTATTCCTGAGTATGGAGATTTTTGGAATGGATATTGCAACTACAATGAACCGAAATAGTTGGGTGAAGGGATAGTAAAGTGGTTTAGTGCTAGAGTTACCTAACCAACAAAATTTCAAAACAACTGGTCTTTGTTATTGTTTTAAAATAATTTCTATACATGCCAAAGTTACCTATTCCTTAAAATTATGTAGTTCATGACAAAATTAAATACTTATTTGACAAGTGACTATTTTTAAATTTTTCTTAAACTTTGATCTCAACTTACTCAATTAATTATTTTTTAGCAACTCTGGCACTGGAACACCCAATAGAGCTTAAGAATATTAAAAAAAATTTCATGTAGTAAACTCAATTTATTTTTAATGTGTACTTCTTGTGATAATGTGTAATTTTGTGATATTAGGTAATTTTATAGATATAAAATAATAATATTAATAACAATAATAATCGTAATTAGTGTAAACGTATATTTTTAAATTAACTTCAATCCCTTGAACAATTTTCAATTTAAAAATGCAATTAAAAAGTAGATGTTACAACACTGTTGCTAAATATATGTAAGAAAAAACTACTTAAATGTTTATGTCTTGCTATTGTTTGTCTTTTTTTATTATTTTGTAATTTTAGCTAACCTTATCCCTATTATTTAAAGTAATTTTTAATTGTAAATTTTAGACTGAGTAAACTAGACTTATCTTATACTTTTTTATAATGCTTAACAGGACGAATAAACATTATTAATATTATTATTACAATAAGTAAATTTAACTTCTCGTTTTTCTTTAAGTTTTTCAGTGTGATATTAGGTATTATATAAAACTTTCAAAGTTATAGATATTAGTTCTAAGTTTTAAATTGTTTAAAAATATCTTTTTACTGTTCTGTGATACTAGGTATTAACAATATTTTTAACAGGGTTCGTACCAGAGATAACAGAGATATAAGAAGTCATTCATAAAATATAATATTCATGATGCCAAGAACAGTTCGCACTCAAAACATTCTATTTCTAGACGCGGGGCGA